GTGAAATTGACACTCTGAGATGTGATGATTGTTTATAGCCCTTGTCTCTACTGTTAAGGAGCAGTTTTGTTTTCTTCATACTATTTGTTGAACTCTTTACTTAGTGTAGGGTTAATCTTACGAGTATAAAGTTAACTGAAAATAGATCTTGGTTAAAAAAAATAAGAATGGGAATAGGAGAGGGAGGAGGATGAAGGATAGAGTGAGGGCAGGAAGGAGGGTTGGGTGGGAAGAATCACTAGGTTACTAAATTTATATATATGAAATTCATGTAGCTTGTATACCTTAAAATTTTTTTAAACTTAATCAGAAAAAAAAGAACACAAGAGAAAACAGAATTTAGGATATGGAATTCAAGGAATTTATCTAGGACATGTCATGTTAAACACACACAATCATAAGGAAGTACATATTTTGAGGACTTAAGTCACCGAAAGATGCTTAGGCCACCGGCTACAGTACTGCTCATTGCCTTAACCCCACCCATCCTACATGATATTCTAACCTTTTGGTTCTTCCGTACTCTCTGTTTTGGTTGTGTCTGGTGAAGTTCTTAGCTAGTATTCATTCTTTAATGACACATTAATCTCTGTGTTTTACTTCTAGCATTGGAGCAGGTTAGGAAAAGGAGCTGAGCTGAGTGATATTTGGAAGAAGCACCTGTTCTGTTCCAGGGACCAACAAGCTAAGGTCAAGGTTGCCATCTACCATGGCTGCTACGTGTGCAGCCAACCCATCAAGTGCGAGCAGGTCTGCCTGGCTCTCCCCTCTGCTCCCCCGCTCTGACCTTCCTTTCCTCTTGAAAGTTGACCATCAACCACCTCATCAAATAAACTCATCCCCAGTCTCCCTGCTTAATGTGTTTGCAGACACCAGTGACAGTCATCACAATACAGAGAGGAAGCTGCCAGGCTAATGAAATTTCCCTCTGCCTTTTGTAAAGCCAAGAAGTTCAGATTAAACTGTTCCATTTCCTACAGAGTTAGAGAAGAATTTCCAACTGCTAATAGATTGCTCCTTCAAATACAACCATAATTATGTCAGGGAATATACCTGTACGTTGTTCCCTTACAAGGGCAAAGTCATCTGCCTCAAACTCCATTTTATTAGAAAGCCTTCCTATTATATTATCTGCTCCCCTTCTGAATGAGCCATAAAGACATATATGTACATAGCACCAAACCCATACATCCTCACTGGGTCAAGCAGACATTCATACTGGTTAAAGGTGGTCCAATCAACCACATTCATCAAAGGATTTCCAGACATATGGCCCTCCCTGCCATACCTCCTACCTACCTGTCATGGATCTGCACAAACCCAGAACAATAAGAAAAGACCTACACTGGGTCCAAAATGATAAATGGCAGCAGCTGACGATGACACACATAGCTCTTCCACAAAAAGCATGAGAAAGCAACCATGACATACCACAGAACAATCAGTAGCTGAAAGGCCAGGCAGTACCCAAAAAGACTTTTAAGAAATACAAAAGCTTGCTGTCAATTTTTAAAAATGAAAATGAAAGAGAATGATGACACAATAGACTTCTATTTACAATATCAAATGAGAGAAATATCTAAAACGCAAGGGGGAAAAGTCAAGAATATAGAAAAATAAACATAGGAAGCATGTATTCTTTTTTTTTTTTTTTGACAGGCAGAGTGGACAGTGAGAGAGAGAGACAGAGAGAAAGGTCTTCCTTTGCCGTTGGTTCACCCTCCAATGGCCACCGCAGCCAGCGCGCTGCGGCCGGCGCACCGCGCTGATCCAATGGCAGGAGCCAGGAGCCAGGTGCTTTTACTGGTCTCCCATGGGGTGCAGGGCCCAAGCACCTGGGCCATCCTCCTCTGCACTCCCTGGCCACAGCAGAGAGCTGGCCTGGAAGAGGGGCAACCGGGACAGAATCCGGCGCCCCAACCGGGACTAGAACCCGGTGTGCCGGCGCCACTAGGCGGAGGATTAGCCTAGTGAGTGGAAGCATGTATTCTTAAAACATCAAAAAGTAAGTTTCACAGGGAAAATTGGGAGGAAGAGTCTCAGCAAAAGGTAGAGAAATTGCTCTACATGGAAAAAATGTGAGAAACAAGCTCAGAAATTGAATGGAGGGGGCTGGCATTCTGGCATAGCAGATAAGTTCTGCAATGCTGGCATCCCACATGGGTGCTTCTTCATGTCCTGGCTGCTCCACTTCCAACCTGATTCCCTACTAATGTGCCTGGGAAAAGCAGCAGAGGATGGTCCAAGTATGTGGCTCCCTGCTACCCACGTAGGAGACTTCTGGCTCTTAGACTGAGCCTGGCTCAGCCATGGGTGTTGCTGCCATCTGGAGAGTGAACCAGAGGATGCACAACTTCTATCTCCTGATCACTCCCTCTCTGTACCTCTGACTTAAAAATAAATAAATAAATATTTTTTTAAAAAAAGAAGAAGAAATTGACTGCAAAATACAAAGAAATATATAATTGAGGTTTTGGAGGATATGTCAGAAAACATTAATAAAGTATATAATTGTGATCACTAAATTATTAGTGGAAGTGTTTTAAAATATTTCCTACAAAAAATAAGGTCAAAACTGAATCTCATGAAATATGCTATATAGGGAAGAGATTGGAAAAAGTCTTACAGACAAAAATAGCAAGGTTGATTCTAGGAAATGTGTATTCATTTTGGACTACTGTAGATAGCTCAGGCAGAGAAGACATTTATTATAAGACAATGCTTTAGGTTACCTGTGTACCACAACACCAGAATTTCCCTGATTAGAGCCAGAGGCAGAGAATTTGGGACATTGTTGTGGGTCTGAGAAGGCTGAGGGTTGACAACCGTAACCAAGTATACCCAAAACAGTTGTTCTCACCAACTTCCATATCAAACAAAAATTACTGCATATCATGAAAAATGTAGGCGCAAGTCATACAAAAGTACATATACCATGGAAGATGCAGTTGCAGGTGTAATAATGGTCACAGATTTAGCATTTTCACTTTTAGATGACAATCACAGCTAACACACAAATACTCACATATATATACACACACATGAACACTGTAAATGAGAGTTATAACCTCACAAAACAGACTGAACATCAAATTATGAACAAAATTCAATTTTGATATGTGTGCCAAGTTTTGGACACCATTATTTCAAAAACTTTCCTTAACTCACACACTGAAACTTTCAGAAAAACACACTAACACCCTCCACCCAATACTATCCTGCTGGGCGCTGGTCCCAAAGAGAAGTAAGGGATGCGGTTGACATGATGTCAACACAGCCAGACTAATGCTACAACAGGGGAGGTGCACCCAATGTGGACCTCAAAGGTGCCCTTGTTCTGCTCCTATTTATAAAGGGAGCTGCCCAGAGTCTCCCAGCACAGACTTGGGAGCAGCTCCAGAGCCTCCTCCACGATGCTGCTGATCCTGCTGTCTGTGGTCCTGCTGGCCCTGAGCTCAACTCAGAGTGAAAATGGAGGTATGCATAAAAAACGGGGGAGAGTAGGGCTCTGTGACTACTTGGGGCATAGGAGACCCTATAGAGAAAAAGAGGGTTTAAGAGAAAGGGGTAGGGGATGAAAAGAAGAATGCACTGTGCAGTTCTTATGACAACTTAGGACATGTTGCATTCTCATTGAATGCCAAAACCTTGAAAGTTAGAGTACAACTGGAACATACTACAGACTTTCAACCACAGATCAACAAAGTAAGCTTTGCATTTGTTCAAAGTCTCCCTGACAGTGCTGTGAAGGATTCACAAGAATATAGCAAGATTGATAAGACTGATACAGAGACTAACAGGCACAGAGATACTATAGCAATCAACAACTTGCTGTAGAGTGAACGCTGTCCGATGAACTAAGAACATACAGAGCTACTTCAAAAACAGAGAACAGGATGATACATGTGGATCTCTCCACACAATAAATGGAATTATCAGGGCTCAGGATTCTGAATTTTTTTGCACCAACTGAATATTTCATGGTGCTCTGAAAAGCATCTCTTTGACACTTGTGAAATGCAACCCCTGATTTCCTCTACCAACAAAGAATGTTAAAGAAGGAAAGTCCTTAATGAAGAAAGAGGATAGAAGAACAGCCCACAGCATTTCCCCCAAAACTAGCAGTATGGGTGACAGATCATAGGGAAGAAGTGGGCTTTTGTATGTTGAGGTCCTGGTTGATCCTCATCCAAGAAACAGCCCTGTCACTACCTTCTCCCTCTCCAAAAGCCTTACAGAAAGGGGCTGCAGAGGAATCTTAAGGAATGTCCAGGAGGCCCCTGCTCCACATAGAACACTTGCCAGCCTTGGTGGATCCTGACTTGACCTTTCTTTTTTCCTATGCTTCTCCTCCTAGAAGTCGACTATGAAGACTATTCCATCCTCACATCAGGTAAAAACTCAAGAATCCCCCATTGAACTTTCTCTTCCCTTTTTTTCACCAGTAATAGATCTGTGATAACTTTTTATCATCACATTTTATACGACATAATGAATGTTCAAAGGGATAAAAATACAGCCAAACTTCCTCATATTGACTCAGGGGACCGTAAACAATTGGGTTATACAATAGAATACAAGTGATTTCAGAATTCAGTGGCAACAGCTGTTTGCCTGTTCACCCAGACCAGAAATGACTGTTGACATGTGCAGACTAATGGGAACCGTCCAAATTCTCATTCTTCCATTTTTCTCAAAGTCCCTCAAATAGCTGCCTTTTCTTCAGTGTTTCCCTCTATAGTTAAGTGGATTCCAAAAAAAAAACACAAAGAAACAAGTGTATCAGTCCCATTACCCTGTGACTGGGCAGACAGAGGTATCCCATAGCTGATGAAAGCTTAACACATTATTGAGTAAACTGAGTGGTCCATCATGCTGTCTGCCTCGGCACTCTGTCAGTATTCCTCTACATGTGTCTGGGACAAAAAAAAAAAACTAACATTATTTTCAACATAGGGCTCAAGAGCTCAAACATGGACAAACTTTGCAACTTTTTAGAGTAGTTCACAATAAAAAATAAAAATCTAAGAGACATTTGTACCGTCCTGTACTTGGAGATACTTAGCACAATTCTAAGGTATCCAAGAGCTCCTCTTAGGTCAAATTAGAACAAAAATACTTTTCACAAGAACAAAGAATGAAGCTCTCTACAATATCAATACATTTTTAATAGGAGTAGTACTTAAGAAAGAAATGTGGATGGGGGAATGTCGCAGCAGGAGACAGGTTGACAGAGTAAGTAACATGTGATCAGGTTAGGAGCTAACAATAGAGACTCTCAGTCACTAAACTCATCTATTCTTGTGATGCCTCATGAAGAGTATGGAAACCTAGGCCAGACCTCTGCAACAAGTCAAAGTGATGATGATAGCCAAGAAACTCGTCATCAGAACAAACCACCGGGCCCAGGAGGCCAACATAACCAGACCCGCCCACCTTTCCCTGGAAACCAAGGTGGCCCACCACAGGGGGGCCAGCAGAATTCTACTCGCCCACCTCACCCTGGAAACCAGCAGCGACCACCTCAACACGGAGGCCAACAGAACAACACTAGCCAAGGAAACCAACAGGGAGGTCCACAGGGAGGACAACAACAGGGAAGATCCCAACAGGGAGGATCTCAGCAGGGAGGAACACAACAGGGAGGATCCCAACAGGGAGGCCCACAGAGAGGACCCCAGCAGGGAGGCACACAGGGAGGACGACAACAGGGAGGACGACAACAGGGAGGACCCCAACAGGGAGGTCCACCGCAGGGAGGCCCACAGGGAGGACCCCAGCAGGGAGGACGACAACAGGGAGGATCCCAGCAGGGAGGCCCACGGGGAAGACCCCAGCAGGGAGGACCACAGGGTAGACCCCAGCAGAGAGGACCACAACAGGGAGGACCCCAGCAGGGAGGCCCACAGCAAGGACCCCAGCAGGGAGGACAACAACAGGAAGTACCACAGAGGGGAGGCCCACAAGGAGGACCCCAGCAGGGAGGCCCACAGGGTGGACCCCAGCAGGGAGGAAGGCAACAGGGAGGCCCACAGGAAGGACGGCAACAAGGAGGCCCACAGGGAGGACCCCAGCAGGGAGGCCCACAGGGAGGACCCCAGCAGGGAGGACCACAGGGAGGACCTCAACAGGGAGGCCCACAGGGTGGACCCCAACAGAGAGGGCCACAGGAAGGACCCCAGCAGAGAGGACCACAGGGAGGACCCCAGCAGGGAGGCCCACAGGGAGGACCCCAGCAGGGAGGCCCGCAGCAGGGTCCACAATCACGTTTTCAAGGAAACAGACCACAAGGCCCTCCCCAAGGACAACCACCACAATAATCCACAGTCAATCACAGGTAAGAGTCCAGTTCATTCTCTATCAAGTCCTACTGCCTAAGCTTCTCTAACTATGGTGTGCCATGAATGAACCTGAAAGATGTTGAAACTATATAGTCCTCAACCCTACTTTTAAAGATTTCTACTCAGTTATTTTGAGATACAGTGGCAAGATGCCATCATTTTAGTTAAGTTCTCCAACATAATTATAGGATTACTCAGAAGCAAGGAGAAGCAAATCCATAAATTAAAGATATCCATGCATGACATGAATGAAAACTTTTCCCATGAAATTGAGACTTTAAAGAGAACTAAAAATGAAAAAATGAGCAATAACGAATTCAATAGATCAAGTAAAGAAATGCAGTGGAAAGCGTTAACCACAGACTTGGTGAGGCTCAAGAAAGAATATCTGAGCTACAAGACAAATCTTTGGAAATTTTTCAGTCAGACCAACAAAAATAAGAAAGTAGAAAAATTAAAAACAGTGTTGGAGATTTATGGGATACTATCAAATGACCCAACATACAGGTCTTAGGAATTCCTGAAAGAATGGAAAGAGAGAATGGATTAGAAGGCCTATTTAGTGAAATAATTACAGAAAACTTCCCAATTTGGGGAAAGAAAGGGACCTCCAAGTACAGAAAGTACACAGAACTACTAACAGACATGACCAGAAAAGATGTTCTTATTTCAGAGAAACCAGTAATGGAGCTTGATCTTCTTGCCCTCTCAAGCCCTTTCAATAAACTTTCTTCTTTTTTTCTTTCTTTCAGAAAGTGAATAAAACACAATGTCCCTGAAGTATCCAAGACACTAGAACAACAATGTCATAACCCTATTTTCCATATGCCAATAAAATAATCAGCATGCACTTTCTGATTGTCCTCATCTCTGATTTTTGCTGTATGTGAAACTATCATTTATGGGATGTGAACACAACAGAAGAGCATTTAGTACCCCTTCTCATCAATGTCTCCAGCAAAATTTCCTCCTCCTGAATGGAATCAAACCAACTCCCAAGTGAAAGAGTTCCACTGTTACTCCTCTTCCCTGGAATCCACTGCACAAATGAAAATTGTTTCATCATTTTCAGGTTCCAGTAATTGGAGGGGAACAGTATAATGGAAGTGAGGAAGATGCACAGGATGAGGCTATCTTTAACATTCCCAAAATAATAGCTCATAGGATCCAGGCATTAATGTGTTTCTAGGCCTCATCAGCCTAGAACCCACCCTGCCCCATTTCTTCTTTTTGATTGCTCTCTCTATCCTAACTTTTCTTATGGACCCACTATTTTTTTAACAAAAACTGGGTGGATTTTTTAAAGGAGACAACATATTGCATTTTAGGGGACATGGATTTCGGCATCCTTCATGTTTCTTTTTAACTCTCATTCTTACTGACTCTGGACACATCATAAGCTACTGAAAGCTCTCAGAGTTTCAGTTACCTTCAGATAAAAGAAGACTTACAGGAAAAGTTATCTTCCAAGTAGGCATGTGGCAAAGCAGGTTAAGCCAAAACTTGCAATGCACGCACCCCATATAGGGTGCACTTGCACGCTAGCCTGCTACACCTCTGAGCCAGCTGAGAAGAAGGCAGAAGATGGCACAAGTACTTGAGTCCCTGCCACTCATGCAGGACACCAGGATGGAATTCCTGGTTCCTGTGTTTGGCCTGGCCCACTGGGACAATTGAGAAGTAAACCAGTGGATAGAAAATCTCTCTTTTCTCTCACTCTTTTTCCCTCCCTCTCTCTCTCTCTCTAACATTACTTTTCAAATAAGTAATAAATCTTTTAAAAATAATACTACATTAATGGGTGCAGTTGAAAGAAAACATTAAAATATAAATTGCCTTCCTATAATTTCATTAAAATATTTATTTTCTTGAAAGGCAGAATTATAGCATCAAAGACAGAAAGAGACAAACAGTCCATCCAATTAGGTTAACTCCCCAGATGGATGCAACAGCTATGGTTGGACAAGGCTAAAGCTAAAGGCTAGGAACACAGTCGGGGTCTCACACGTGGGTGGCAAGAGTTCATATATTTGTGCCATCCTCTACTAATTTCACAAACACATTACAGGGACTTGGACACAAAGTAGAACAGCTGGGATACAAACCTGCACCAGCTAACCCACTGCAAGACAATGCTGCCCCCCACCACTTCCTATTATTTAGGGAAGAAGAATAGACAACAATTTGGAAGGAATTCAAGGATCCCCGATTAAAAATTTTCTTATGGCTTTGTCAAAATCTCTAAATACAATAATCTCTGACGATGTTCACTCCAGAAGGTTAAAAAGCACTATTTTTTCTATGTTTTTGATCTTTTACCTCTACCATTCTAATCAGTTTTTAAAGTCTCATAACTGTTCCTCTTAAAGTAACCATCTACTAAATTTGTTGGGTATCCTGTAGCACCTGATAGAAACTTTGTTCATGACAACTGGCTTTCTTAAAGTAAAATCTTCATCTAGTTCAAGGAGATCAGGAATGTGTTAACAGAGTTGTCTACAAACTGTCTCCTGTTCAAGCAGGCAGTAAAAGACTGGAGGGGGAAGAAGTCTTTGCTATCACTTCTGTGCTGTTTGAATTTCCTTTGTGGCACTAAAGAAGGAGATTCTAAAAGAACGACTTTGTTTTATTATCACTTAACCTGGATTTGACATATCACCATTTCTACCTTACTCTGTTGGTCACATAGACTAATCCTGATGTAATGTGGTGGGACACATACAAGACTGTGAATTATAAGATGCAGAAATCTTTGACAGTGGTTGTCTCACAGGACAACAGTTGTAATAAAAATACGAGGGATATACAACATTACTAAGCTGAGAAATCAAAAAGACAAAAATGGAAAAAAAAAATAACGATGCATGTGGTTGAAGAAGAAATTAGTGAGCTGGAACACCCATTCACCAAGAAGGTGAGAGGAAAGAACAGTCAGAAATATCTTAAAAATATTAAGAGACATATGGACAGGAGAAGGTCATCACCATCTAATTAGCAGGCATTCCTGTGGGAAACAAATAGGAACCCAGAGAGAAGGGAAGAGCTGAAGAATTGATACACAGGAATTTCAAATGAGGAACAAAAAAAGATAATAACATTAAAATTAAAAAATAAAAACAAGACTTCAATGTGAAAGCATATGCAGATTTCAACTCAAATCAGCTAAAGAACAATCACACCAAGACAAATTATGGAGAAATTTTTAAAATACCAAGGCAAAACATCCAGGGAAGAAAAAAACATGTCTGCCAAGAAGCAGAATGTGTTTGACTTGAACTTCTCAATATCAGCATTACTTTCATTGATAACAAAGCAATATCTTAAAATTTAGAATAGTATTAACAGAAGAAATATCATTTTTAAAATAATCTTTATTAATATAAAGAGTACAGAGTTCACATATTTCATAGGTACAATTCTAAGATAACCAATCTTCCCTCACTCCTTCTTTTCCTCCCTCAATCCCCATCCTCCCTTCCTTTCTTTTTTTTCCTTTGACTTTTGCAAAAACATAATTGCAGTCCACTCTATAATCACGGGTTAATGCACCACTAACCAGAATATTCAACAAGGGAAGAAACAAGAAAGACCACAGCTTGACAGGAGTATCAGGGAGAGATCTACATTATCACTTAGGTGAGTTCACAACTTTATGAAATTTATAGAATACTTCTTTTAAGGAAGGAATACTAGCGAAACTGTTTTCAACAAGAAGTAAATGGAAGTAACATGTTTTTCAAAGATCAATCTTAGTAAAACACTGCCCTTCATGGTGTTGTAATGTTTCATCACAATATCAAGAAATCACCACGGTTTTACAACAAAAAAAGCAAAAGCACACAACAAAAAATATGGGAGGTACTCCCAACTTATTTACACTTGATGGTTTATGTGTTCTTTTGAATCAATCCATTTCATCCAGATCACCCAATTTATTTTATTAAGGACAACTGTTCATAGTACTTTTTTTTTTTTTTTTTTGGCCGGCAGAGTTAGACAGTCAAAGAGAGAGACAGAGAGAAAGGTCTTCCTTCCATTGGTTCACCCCCAAAATGGCCGCAACGGCTGGCGCAATGTGCCGATCCGAAGCAAGAGGCCAAGTGCTTCCTCCTCGTCTCCCATGCAGGTGCAGGACCCAAGCACTTGGGCCATCCTCCATTGCCTTCCCGGGCCACAGCAGAGAGCTGGCCTGGAAGAGAAGCAACTGGGACAGAATCCGACTCCCTGACTGGGACTAGAACCCAAATGACTGTAACAGCCAGGACTGGGCCAGGCTGAAGCCAGGAGCCTGGAACTACAACCAGGTCTCTCACGTGGGTGGTTAGAGCTCAAGTTCTCAAGCAATCCTCCACTAAATTCCCAGACACATTAGCAGGGAGCTGTATCGGAAGCAGAGTAGCCCGGACTTGAATCAGGCACTCATATGGGAGGCCAGTGTCACGGGCAGCAGCTTAACACACTGTGTCACAATGCCAGACACCAAGGATCTTTTTATACGTGATTCTACACCATTCTATCATCTAGCTGTGCTGTAATTTCCCTCAACTGTTATCCTATTAATGGACACTTGGGCTTTCAGGTGTTCACTACTATAGGATATAATGTAGTAAATAAACATCTTTGCAAATAGATCCTTGAACATTTTGAATAGCAGCCAAAAGAGAATTGAGGAATAACTGGTTTTCTCCTTTTGTCAGCCATTTGGTTTGCATGGTCTGCTATGTGCATGGAAAGAATACACAAAGAGAAATTAGAAAGGAAAAGAGGAAGTAACAATCTGAAGGGAAAAGACAGGCTCTCTGCACCCTCAGTAATCACAGCAGGGAATTAGAACTTCCCTGCCATGTCAGAGTGGCCCTACACACTTTGTTTTGTTAGTTTCAGAAAAGGAGTAAGAAGATGATGTTGGAATGGCCTTTTGGCACAGCATAAGACGCCACCTGAAACGCCCACATGACGTATCAGAGAGCCTGGGTTCAAATCCACAACTGTGTCT